CCAGTTTGGGAATACTGCGTTCAATTCTGGTCTCCTGCTATAGGAAGGATGTTGTGAAACTGGAAAGGGTTCAGAAACTATTTACAAGGATGTTGGAGGGTTTGAGCTACAGGGAAGAGGCTGGGGCTGTTTTCCCCGGAGCGTCGGGGGCTGAGGGGTGACCATATGGAGGTTTATAAAATCATGAGGGGCATGGATAGGTGAATAGCCAAGGTCTTTTCCCCCAGGGTAGGGGAGTCCAAAACTAGAGGAGCATAGGTTTAAGATGGGAGGGGAAAGATTTAAAAGGGACCTGAGGGGGTAACATTTTCACACGGAAGGTGGTGAGTGGATGGAACGAGCTGCCAGAGGAAGTGGGTGGGGGCTGGTACAGTTACAGCATTTAAAAGGCATCTGGATGGGGACGTGGATAGGGAGGGTTTAGAGGGAAATGGGACTGGATTAATTTAGGATATCTGGGTCAGCACGGACGGGTTGGGCCAAAGGGCCTGTTTCCGTGCTGTGTGAATCTATAAGGCGAGCCCTCGTCTCTGGAATCAATCGGGTGAACCTCCTCCGATCTGCCTCCAATACAAGTGCATTCCTCCTCCCATAAGGGGACCAGAACTGTACACAATACTCCAGGTTCAGTCTCACTAATGCCTTTTGACGTTGCAGCAACACTTTCACACTCTATTCCTTTCGCATTAAATGCCAATATTCCATCTGCCTTCCTCATTTCCTGCTCTCCCTGTGTGCGAAGTATCTGCGGCTCATGCACTGGGGACACCCAGATCCCTCTGCACCGAAAGCTCGGCGCGTTCCCGCCCCGTTTCCATTCTTTCCGTTCCCCCCAACTGAAACGGATAACCTCACACTTATCCACGTTAAACTTCGTCGCCCACTGAGATTTTGGCTCGTTCCTGCGGCTAACGTTCCCGTATCTCCTCGTGCGTCTCAGATGCCAAAGTCCCCGCCGGTATTGAACATCGTCTGCGAATTTGGATAACGTCCTGGCCTGTCCCATGTGTGACTCCAGACCCACAGTGTCCCCTGAAATGACCGCGCCAATCCAGGGGTGGGGGGGGCGGGCGTGGGAAACGCAGGCTTGGCCCAGCTGACGGTCAGTGAGTCCCGCAGCCCAAGAGAGAGAATCCCCACGGCACGGATGTGGAACTGAGGCCAACGGTCATCAAGCCTGTCCCGAGTTTTCGCCCGGTTCTCCCGAGCCAACTCTCTGCACCCCGGAGTGGGTTTTCAAGGCCAGCTTTCATTTATTGTCAAATCCCAGTTTGAACGGGTGGGATTCAAGCACCTTTCCTCCTCTCGCCCCACCCCACCACCACCACCAAAATAACGTGACGACCACCTCCATCCCTCCACCCCCCCGCCCCCCCAATTCCCGGTGACAGCCCGTTTGTGAACCGTCTCCAACACGTCATTCCATAAAAGAGGAGGCCGGCGCTGTATGCACTATGCCAGAGGTGGTCTCTCCAACGTCCTGTGCCCCTGAAATATTCCCCACCCTGTTCCTGTATGCAATTCCCCTTTCACGTTCAAGCCCCCCACCCCCCTCCATCTCCTGCCAGCTTTCCCGCTTTACTAGCTGTCCCTGCTTCCCAAACCTCCTGTAGCCGGTGAACTGGCATTAGCCTGTACTGTCGCTTAGATTGCTGTTCCCCTGGGAGATTTGGTGTTCTTGCATGGGGTCCTGATCGAAGGGAGGTATGAAAATTGGACCCGGTGCCCCTCAGTGGCGTTCCCATCAAGAGGGAGGCAGCAAGCAGGGTGGGGTTTGGGGGGAGGGTCGTCTTTCTGCGGTTGCTGACTCCTGCCTTCTGTCCACCTTCCCCAACCGCTCGCCATCCAACCCCCCCAGGCCAGGAGGGAGCTGCGCAGAGAGAAGCAGGAATGGCTATCTGCCGAACTGATGCAGAGGGTCCTCAACGAGATCCTGATGGAATATCACGTGAATCGATGGGAGAATGGGGTCAGCTCCGAGGACCAGCAGGTGAGTCGGGGTTCGGTGCGGTGAGCATGGGCTCCAGAACCAGGGAGAAACTCAGACTCCTTTCGGGGAGGACGGTTTATTGATGACGCAGTCTCACAGCTCCCTATCACACCCTCTTCCCCCTCTGTCTGTACCTCCCTCTCCCTGTCCCTCTCCCTCTCCCTCTCCCTCTCCCTCTCCTTCTCT